GTTCTCTACAGCTTAATAAAACAAAAAAAACTATAGAAAAACACTAAACATTAAGTAAATTTTTACCACAGTAACAGACTTTGCATCATGATGAAATATAAAATAAAAATCATCAGAATATTTCCAACCAAAGTGTCACTCAACTACTTGAGGGAAAAATTAAACATAAACTAGAAGCTTCTGTGGGAAGGATATATTAAAGGATTGTAAAGTATCCAACTCTATACTATAAACTCCCTTCTATTTAAGTTACAATCAGATTTCTGTGGTTTTATAATAGCATCAATATAGAATTATTGTAACATTCTGGTGAAATGTTCTAAGTTTATTTTAATTTCATATCACAAACATCTTCAGGTTTTCAATTTGGCACATCACAGCAGTACTTAGATCCATTGCCTTAGAATTTGGGAGTACTATCTTAAAACATCAAATATATTTCATCACATTTAAGAAGAAAATGTCTCAAAGCATTAGGCAAAATCCAAACAGTTTTAGCCATGCTGAACCATTCTGTTCCTTATGAGAAACCACCACCTCTTTCAGATTCAGTTCACCTGGGCTTCAAAATAAAACCAGAAAAAAGAAAACTAAAAAAAAAACCCTCAGAGTTATTTACCAATGTAAATATTGGCACTATTACCAATACCATGTGCAGAGTATTTGTGGGTGGTACATATACAATATTTTGCATCCACCCAAAAAAATCTGATGGATGACATTGTGCTGTTGAAGTTTGGAATGAATTAAATCCACATAATTATATTAATTGTCCATTGACTCCAATTCCTTAAGAATACTCCTTCTTACCCATGACATCACTCTTTCTCACATCTGGGTTCCCTTTGTTTATCTTTCATTCTCTGGGAACACCAAATTTGTCTCTGTTTCACACTATCTCTTCTGATCTGTAAACGCTGGGTTATCTGTAACCCTCCTGTCTCCTCCACATTAATTTCAGAATGAATCCCTGGCCGATTCTCATGAGAATTGATCTCTGTTTTCCTGACAACAGATCTACCCAACATTTTCCATCAAATCAAAAAATACTTTCACTTCCCACCACAAAAACAGTGGGCTCAACCAGAAAATCCTCATCCTCATCCCCAGAGGCTTCACAGGCCTCAACAAGAAGAGGAATAGAATAGAGAAGAAAAAAAAGGAAGAGAAGAAAAGAGCAAGGAAAAAGAAGGGGAAGGATGGAAGAAAGGAAGTAAGATATAGAAGAGAAAGCAAGGGAAAATGGAAAAAAGAAGAAAAGAGAGAGGGACATGGTATATGATGATATGTGAAAAGAAAGAGCCACAAAAAAACTACAAACCTGGTCAACATCAGGCATTCACACTAGTAGTTTCAGTTGACCTGAAACCTGGGGGGGGGGGGGGACGCTCCTTCTCATAACTTTGCATAACTAAAAAAAAAAACCCTGAAAATCCCCTACCCTTAATTATATCTCCTATCTACTAGCTGAATTTGCCTATTACCTTTTGCTTGAGTCCATATAGCTAATTCAAGGAAAAACTCCAGGCAGAATAGCTACTGCGCACAGAAAAAACAAAACAAAAAACCCACAATATTTAGTTCAGATCACTATTGGGGAAGGGGAGCAAACACTCTTCCCATGCCCATCTTGTTTTTAAAAACACAAAAAGCTTAACAGAAAATAAAATGGTATTTGAAAAACTACCTCACAGAGAACATGACCCTGTAGATTTAATACTTTTTCAGATTTTCAACAAACCTGGAAGTTTCTTACCAGCTCTTGAGCATCCTGTATTAATGGCAAAAATGCAGCTTCCAGAATAGCAACTTGGTCAGCACTCAGTTTCTGCCACAGGCTAATCAGGAGAATTACCAGCTGGGTGGCACTTTTCAACTTTGTGAATGCCTGGAACATATTGGCTTGGTTTTCTTCAGCTGCATCTGCTAGAGCTATTACCTGCAGAAATTACAAACTTCTGTTAGGGTTTTTTTTTTTTTACCATTTTTGAGCACTCAACACTAACATTACATTTGGCAAGCTCTTAGTTTTCTTTAGAAGAACCTGATGAACTTTCCATTCCAAAAACATAAACCGGTTATTATTTACCATCTTCTTCTGAATGAGATATAATTTAAACTCCATATGGCAGTATGATTAAGCTATTAGTTCAATCAATGCAAAAGTCTTCAGGGTCTGTATTATGTATATTATATAATAAGGGATCTCTCAAACTGATTATCAAAACATAAAGAAATAATCCTTAATGACATGTAAGCACTCATTTTAAATACCACCTATGATGTTAATCCTTGTGTATCATCTCTTCTACCATAGCTTCCAAAGTGTAGCTTTTATTTGTAGATTAGGTACATTTTCTTTGATTTTACAAAATATATATACTACTTCTTATCAGAACATTTACATCATTCTATATATACATGGGTCTATACATACAAAACTATAAGTGTATCTGGCATGCGTTTAGTGCGCTGATGTTTATAGCATAGACATAGCTACTAGAGTAGAAAGCTTGTGAAACGGAAATTAAAGGTGTGCTAAACTGAAATGCCAACTCTTTTCCTTTTATAAACTGGAATAATATTTTATCCCTATTCACACATTCAGGACATAAATGGAAAAAACTACAATTAGAAACAGAACCAAAGTGAGCTGGACTTAATCACTCTAAATGGTCTTGTTCTCATATTATCCACCTCCTACACATGCCAAAAGCTAAGGAAAAACTACTATGGTTGGCTTCAATAAAGATTATAGATTATAGAACTGTGTGCCACACAAAGAATTTGACAAATAGATTGGTAGCTTCATTCAGAGGATGCTGAGGGTTAGAGTACTAACATCTTGATTGTCTTTACTACTAAGGCTGCACCTACACTGTAGAATTAATGCAGTCTGACACTACTTTAGCTGCCAGGGCTCAATACTCATAGGAGTCGTAGTTTTACAGTCTTTAGCTTTCTTTGCGAAAGTGGGCTCATGCTGCACCAAACTACAACTGCCATGATTTCATAGCACTCAGCAAAGATGGTAAAAGTAGTGTCAAACTGTATTAATTATGAAATGTAGATGCACACTATGTTACCATCTACCTACTAGCAGCTACCCTGGTCCAAGAACTGTTTGAGGATTTTTATCATTTTAAAAATATTAAATTGTGGAGAATATACCCAAGTGACATAATGTAACTATTTTCTTAACGGAGAAAACAAGAAACTCACCAGGCATTGCATATTAATTTCCCCAAAGGTAAGATTTTCAAGGTTTATATGAAATCTTTGGTTCACTAGTTCTCAGCTTGAGAAAATAACAATAAATGTACCATTCAACTAAAGCATCTCTCCATGTGTCCAAATATGATCAAGGAGGAGGTAGAAACTTCAAATTCATTGATGAAGATAATAAAAGGAAACCATTGAAAAGAAGCCTAGTTCTGACTGATCATTTCTATCATTTTTATAGTAGGCACTATTTTCCAATTTTTGGAACCAAGTTTCATTTGGGAGGTGGTACTATGTTGTATTTTGTTTTATGTAATTGCGTTATTATTGTTTATTATTACCGTTTTTGGTTTTGTTTTATTTCATGTAATTGTTGTTTTGGGCTTGGCCTCATGTAAGCTGCACCAAGTCCCTATCGGGGAGATGGAGCGGGGTACAAATAAAATTTATTATTATTATTATTACCACCACCCCCTGCTCCCATTCTGAGCTATTATCAATCTTTCAGAAAAATAAAATATACTTGGATCTTTCTGATTTAATGCCTCACAGCTTACAAAAAATATGGATAGAAATTGTGTCAAAAGGAACTGCTTTTGTGATATTAGAAATACTTTCTTTCAAAATTCAGAACATTGAGACACTTCCACCACATGTGGAATTGTATACTCCTCACTTCCTCCAGAATCTGTTCGATGATTGTGTGTCTATAAAGTTCATTTTTACTGGGATTAGATACTAACAATATAGTATCTGTAAAGCATGTTCTCTCATTTTGGAAGATATAGAATTTATTGGAAGCCTTTTCCATAATATTTTCTATTAAAAGTTTGTATGCAGATCAGTATCCCAAACTTTAAGATCTTCCGGGAAGGCCCTCCTTTCGCTCCCACCACCATCACAAGCACGGTTGGTGGGGATGAGAGAGAGGGCCTTCTCGGTGGTGGCCCCCCACCTCTGGAACACCCATCCTGGAGAAATAAGACAGGCCCCATCCCTCCCCTCCTTTCGTAAGAGCCTGAAGACCTGGTGGTTTAAACAAACCTTTGAAAACCACTAGTTCTAGCTCTGCCCCAAATACTGTTGAAATTGGCCATATCTTCTTCTACCAATTACCCAGGTCACTTTGTTCTATTAGGCCCTGGAAATGTACAGCCATAGACTCTACCTAATTTCCCAGGCCCTCTAAAATCGCATTAGCCCAGCCCGGCCTTTTAAACTGCCTTGAACAGGCAGGATTATTTTAAATATATGTGCTATTGTGGTTTTTAATGCTTACATTGTCTTGTTAATTTTATGTTTATGCTGTTTTCTTTGTATGTATTAATTATGTTACTTGGAAACTGCTCTGAGTCCCCTTGGGGAGATAGAGCGGTATATAAATAAAGTTTTGTTGTTGTTGTTGTTAACTGGAGCCCTCATGGTCTGGGGATGTTAATTCAATCAATACATTATAGATATTTAACACTAAATCTTTAATGTTTGATTGGGAAATTTATATTAATATTCCTAGAGCACACTGAGCCTATGTTTTTACGTCTGCTCTAAAGACAAAGTAGAGTACCCGAAGAAGAAGAGAAGAAGAACTTTATTTTTCTACCCTGCCTCCATCTCCCCGAAGGGACTTGGGGCAGCTTACATTGGGCCAAGCCCAAGGCAACATACAATTAAGAACAATAACAAATTAAAATAGCATAAAACAGCATAAACAATAATAAACAAGCATAAAAAGAAACAACAGACTAATTTTTGGAGTGTGGGAGGGGCTACTATGCAAACTGGTGGTTCAATAAGGTGGATAGAAACGTATAGCAGCATAGGAAATAGCATGGAAACAGAGCAATTAAACAGGATCAATTCGGCTTAACTTAAAAATGTAGTAATGAAATATACAGGTCATGGTTCAGGTCATGATACAGGTCATTTGTCACAGGGGTCATCAGTCGAATGCACAACGAAACATCCATGTCTTTAATTTCTTGCGGAATGTGGGTAGGGAGTGTGCTAGACTAATCTCCCTGGGGAGGGAGTTCCAGAGACTAGGGGGCACCACTGAGAATGCTCTTTCTCTCGTCCTCACCAACCGCACCTGAGACGGGGTTGGGAGCAAGAGAAGAGCATCCCCAGAAGATCTTAAGGACCATGTGGGCTCGTAGGGGAAAGTATTAGTTTAGTTGCAGCTAGCTGATCTTGAATTTGTTTGCTAGACCTATGTTTAGCTTTTGTACAAGTGTAGCTGATATAGTTGTTTCTGTTCCGAGGATTTAAATAAAAAAAGTTTATCTTGATAAAATATGGGGTGACATAAGAAATGTGAGTAGATCAATAGGTACCGCTTCGGTGGGAAGGTAACAGTGCTCCATGTAGTCATGCCAGCCGCATGACATTGGAGGTGTCTACAGACAATGTCGTATCTTCAGCTTAGAAATTGAGATGAGCCCCACCCCCCAGGGTCTAACACGGCTAGACATAATGTCAGGGGAAACATTTAGCTTTACCTCATACAATTAGGATCAATAATGATTATATCAATATATGTTTATCTCTTGAAAGTATCTTTTAAAAAAACAATTTTAATTAAAATCACTCTATATTTTAATTTCAGGGTGTGATTTGATCCACTGCATATATAAGTTTTCATATTCCATTTTAATCCAGGCATCTACAATACTGTGGTGAATTATTCTTATCGTTTACTTAATATAAAAAGCTTCATAGAAGAAAAATCAGTTTTGGGACTCTGAGCCCCTCAACTTTACCACTTCTGTATATTACATTCTTTGATACCCTAGACCTTTTTAAAAATAGAATAGGCAGTGTAGTATTTGAAATCCTTCATAGTCAGGAAAGCTTTTTTAAAAATTTGGCTTTCTTTCTTTCTTTGGTGTGTTTCAGTTCCGCAAGTGAAAGCTTGAAGAGAAAATGTTTTTCCCATTCGGTTTGGTGCATTCACTTGTAAGTTTCTCATAAATTCAGTACAGAAAGATATGATCAACGTTTTGGACAAGTAAAGTTTTTGGATCTTTGACATTCTTAGATAATGTACCAGAATGCCTAATATTTCCCCAAATTCTTGTAATTTAGAAAATATTTCAGTACAATTGTAGGGTTGATGACAAAAACCGGCAGGTCATCATACAAAGGCTACGGAGATATTTCGCATTCCCTGCTTTTACTCTAGGAATCTCCACTGCATTCATCAGGAACTCCCATGGTTAGAGCAAACAGAACTAGAGATAAAGGACACACCTGAAGAGTTTCCCTAAATTGGATCTGAGTCTGTACCATTAGTATTAAAAATGGCTTAAAATCTTTATACAGGTTTCAAATAAATTCACTATTTTTTTCGCCCATATCCATGACTGTACATAGTTGTACAATAGTTAACCATTCTATTTTAACAAAAGTCTTGGCTGACTCATATGAAACTATTATTGCATGTCTTTAAACAGAACCATAACACAGCCCAACCAAAAAAAATATATCTCAATATCTTGGTTTTTTAGGCTTGTTCCTGGGGCTATTCGAGGCCTGATTTAGACAATTGTATTGGATAGATCTCATCTGCTCAAGTTATCTTGGTTTTCTTTGGGCAAGCATGGCAACTGGTTGATGGCATATGTTCTGTATCTCAAAAACTAGACATTGTAGAAGACTGGTGCCAATTTTGGAACCAGCAGGTCAAAACCCCCAGAAACCGGGCTAAGATTTGAGGCA